TGATCTGTGAGTTAGCCATGCCCTGACTTAGATCAGCCCAGAGGTTGTTTCATGGTTTAATCTGTGAGTTAGCCATGCCCTGACTTAGATCAGCCTAGAGGTTGTTTTAGGGTATCTATCTGTGAGCTAGCCATGCCCATGACTTCAATCAGCCCATAAGGGTTGTTTCAGGGTTGGATCTGTGAGTTAGTTGTGACCTGACTTAGATCAGCCCAGAGTTTGTTTCAGGGTTCAATCTATGAGTTACACTAGCTGTCCCCTGGCATAGATAAGTCTAGAGGTTGTTGTAGGGTTTGATCTGTAAGTTAGACGTGTCTTGAATTATATCAGCCCAGAAGTTGTTTCAGGATTTGATCTGAGAGTCACAGTGGCCATGCCCTGACTTAGATCAGCCCAGAGGTTGTTTCAGGGTTTGATCTGAGAGTTAGCCATGCCCTGACTTTGATCAGCTCAAAGGCTGTTTCAGGGTTTGATCTGTGAGTTAGCCATGCCCTGACTTTGATCAGCTCAGAGGTTACCATTTCAGGGCATCAAGAAAATGACATGTAGAAAGTTTATTCTGAAGGCTTAAGTTTCTATAAATGCACTGACTCTGATCTCTTTTGCGTATAAGCAGTGGGAAGATTATTCATGTGTGGGAAGAGTCATGTGTGTAGTCAGAAACTGCAGTATTTATTAGTGGAATGTGTAGTAACGGTTAGTTTTACCTAGTGTGTCTGCAGCCATCAAAACTCCTCCATCAAATTTGATTCCCAGGACTGATGTTCCTTGAGTGGTTGGATGACTAGAACAAAATCAAAGTGTAAAAGTTTAATAGATCCCTTTCATGTGACGTCAAGGCAGCTCAATTTAGAGGATAAAATAAAATAATTTCAATCTCCTGAGAAGTGGAAACCTATTGTTATGTGTCTTCCAAATTGAAGGTGCTTCCAATGTGCTACGAGAGGTCTATACATGAACAGGGATTGCAATTTCCAAGTGGTGGTGAGAATCTGAGGAGGGTATATTGCGTAGTTCCAGAAAATATCCCCACCTCCCCCTAGGGGGGATCCTCATTAGCTTCTCTTGTTAGATCAACCAACATAGTGGCTGTTTGTTTGGTATCCTCCTATTCTTGGGGTGCATGTTTCGTCATAGCCGCCATGTTGGTTGATGATAACAAAGCATTCCTCATTAGCTTCTCTTTTTAGATAAACCAACATGGCGGCTGTTTCAAAGTTAATAATATCTTGATGGATTTTGAGTCCTATACTATGGTTGCACCCCACGAATATACAATACTATCTTTGTATCCATTCTCCAATTCAACATGGAAGCAACAATAAAATATTAAAACAACAGTAGCAAAAGCAAAACTTAGTTAAATTCTCCAAAAGATTTCAAGAGTCGGTATTTTTTAGTTTTACACGAAAAGAGACCAAAAGACAAATAAAGCTTCAAGCACATGGGAGCTTTTTTATAGAAAAGCCAGTATAAGCATTTTATCTCCAATTCTTTTGCCGCCAAAACAACAATGCTGAACACATTCTTATGTCGACAAATTACTGCATTATTCACCACGATTTTAACAAAGAATAATTTACATTTTTGTCAGAATGACATGTTTTCAACTTGCACAAAAGATAACGAAAAATGCTCACAAATGTACCAAATTCTCTATACTTACAGCGTTTTTTTCAAAGGACCGGATTCTGCTTGACTCTTTCCTCCAGGGAAGTTGTAATACCCGCCAGGTGAGGGGCCATTGGACCACAAAGGCTGAGGAAAACTCGAGTTTAAAGAAAAGTATTGGGCCGCCATCTTGGATTTGGAGATTTTTACTGAGTCATTCCCAGGTGTCAATGCGGGGAGACACTAATAATTTTACTATGGGAGGGAAGGGAGAGGAAAGATTGTTGCATATTTGTTTATACCAATAAAGATATTTTTGACGTTATATTGGGATGTATTCGCAATATATGCATTGAAAATATAAGTAACCTACAAGAACTAGCTAAATGAATATTTCCCCCCTACTTTATGTTACATGAAGCATTTTTTTAAATGGTCTTACATATAATCTAGAGAAATATCTCTTTGAAAATATCTTAATACTTCTAGGAGATTCTGGGAATATATTTTCATTTGCAGCTTGAGCCTCGCTCAAACTCCTCGGCTCGAACCCGTATTCCATTGCATTACAGCGATGGGGTTTCTGTGGTAAATCTTGACAGAGTTGAGGCTGGTATTAGCACAGGTAGCCCAAGGACGACATTTATGGACTAGTGGCAAATAACAGTTAAAATTGAATGTATTTAACTATAAACAGGCAACATCAGAGCTAATAACAAGAAAAAGACAAATTGTGAGTTTTGCTGGGTTTTGTTAATACAAAAGTCCGAAAATCCGCATTTCCGTAAAGGCTCTAAAACCGCAAAAGCCATCTTTGGGTTTCCTGTGTACTGGCCGTTTTTGATTTTCCAAGATGGCGGACGAAGGGACAAGTCTGGTAAAGAGTAGACCTCAGCGCAAAAATGCTGGAAATCGGATGTCTAAAATGATCGAAGATGAACAAGAAGTCGACGACTTCTATAAGACAGCTTTTGGTGGCTTTGAAGAGGAATCAGGAGACGAGGAGTTTGAAAAAGATGAAGAAGAAGATGTCGACATTGTTGATTCAGATTTTAGTTTATCTGAGACAGATGAGGTCATTGAACAAGACGAAGATGAGCCTAAGAGGAAACGAAAAAAGGTTTTCATAAAGCCTTATCGTCAGCAAAAGCCAGAGAGTGAAGAACCAAAGCCTAAACAGGCCCCAAAACCGAAGAAATTTGGTGGAAATGCTACTCCAAGGGAAGGACTTCGTAAATCAACTCGTACGTTGACGGTCTCTAAAGCAGAAGAACTTAAACAAAGACAGCATGAAGAAAAAGAAAAGCGCAGTAAACAGAAGCAACAGAACTTCAAAGCACCGCCTGGAATGCGACGGCTCACTCAGGAAGAACTCCTAGCAGAAGCCAAAATAACAGAGGAAGAAAACCTCGCATCGCTCGCTGCTTATCAACGACTCGAAGCAGACCGAAAGAAAACAAAAGTCGTTAAGGTAACCAACAAGGGACCTTTGATAAGATTTTGTTCTTTATCTATGCCAGTAGTAGAAATACACGAACCTATTCTAAAAGTCGACGAGATCGAGAAAGATGAAGAGGATCCCAAGGTCAGTGTTGATTCGTCGAAGCGCTGCAGTCGAAATTTTCTCATTTTCACGGATGCAAAGAGTTTTCCAGATGCTTATTTTCCTACCAAGAAAGTCAAATATCCACAAAGGAAATATTGTCCAGTGACAGGGCTACCTGCACAGTACAGAGACCCCTTAACTGGTCTGCCGTATGCCAATGCACAGGCGTTCAGGTATATAAGGGAGAGCTATGTAATGCAGATGGAAGAGAACAAAGAGAAAGGAGGGATGGAAAATGAAACAAGAAAAAGAAGATAACAGCTGTGCTACACTACAGCAATAGTCCCCTTCACAGTTCCCTGCACCATCTTAAAAAGTAGCCGCACCTTTACATCGAAGCGAGACGAACGGTGAGCTTGCAATGATAGAGACATGTGAATAATAATTGCCCAAGGTGTTAAAAAAGGTCTCTATCATTTCAAGCTCACCGTTCGTCTTGCTTCAATGCAAAGGCACGACTACCTTTCAAGATGGCGTAGGGAACTGTGAAAGCGATTATTGTGAGCTATTAGCAAGGGTTGGGGGGAGGGGGTGAGGTTGCTTAAATCCAAGTCAGATGGAAAGGATGAAAAAAGAAAGATAAGATCAGAGAACTGTTATTAAAATGGGCTAGATAAGAATTTAACTCCAAGAAGATAAGTATATTGGTTTGGGCATGTAGTCGTATTATAAAAGTAAATACAAGAAGCCATTTTCTGTGCATGATTTATTCGTTAGATATTTTGATCACTCTACCCATGGGTGTCCTGTGTTTTGAGCATGCATTAAGATGATTTTGAAATAATTAGCAAAGGACACAACTATTACAGAAATAGAAAGGTGACAGAGGCATTATGTATTAAAGAACAAAAATCCTCGCTTAATGAACAAGGACAGAGCATCCCGTTGGGACTTCTGAACTAATAATAATGACTTGAACTTTGAATTATAATTCAGTCTGATGATGATCACTGGAGAGTGATTGAAATATCAAACAAATAAATCATGCACAGAAAATGGCTTCTCGCATTTACTTTTATAAGAAGATAATTGAAATGGATGGGTGAAAGAGAAAGGAATAACGTGAAATGAAGAGAAAGAGAAGATAAAACAGTGCTTGATACTGCCATCACCAATATGTGAGAATGGAGCCAGAGATGCTTGGAATAGAATAGGCCCTTTGCAGCTTAGAAATCACGTGCTGATTAATTCACTGAGAGCAAATGAATGAACATCTTGATTCCCATGGGTGAAATATACTGGTGAGCAAACAAACTTTCTACAACCTGTTTCGAGAGATCGTAATAAAACTGCATTTTGCAACACACTGGTTACACATCGTTTCATTCAGTTCTTTACGAGTAGCTAAAAAGAATCGMCAATTTGAAATAAATTTTGCTCACCAGTACAGACACATGACCGTTAACGGCAAAGGACCTATTGAACTGTTTAGAGAAGTGCTCTACTTTCATGGGTCCATAGCTATCCAGGATAGTGTTTTGACCTCATTGATAATGGTCCCAGAAGATAGAGCCTCCTATGAAGATGTTCTTAAGTGAAATCCAAGAAAGAAATGTTGCACGATGACCCAAAGAACATCTGCATAGAAGGCTACAGAAAGATATCACTTGCTACATTTTGCTCGCAAGAAAACCCTAAAACAACTTCAAAAGGGACGGACAATTAGATTTTGGGGGGGGGGGGGTTGGGCAATTTATTTTGTGTAGGGATTTTTAAAGCCTCGTGGCTGTGCAGGAAATTTTTTTTGGCATAATTTGGAATTTTTTCTGGCACTTTTCTTATGCACGATTTTTTTTTTCACTCTTGAATTTTTTTTGGGTTTTAAACTGACACCCCCCCCCCCCCCCTCATCTCAAAAATCTAATGGTTCGTCCCTAAAAACTTATAAATACTCCAGTTTCGAGTTCTATGTTGCTCAGGGTTAGCCTACACTTTGTGCAGAATATATCCATGTGGTCCAGTGAACAGTGGAATTTCAAAGTGTTTTTATATTTGTTGAAGGAGTTTTGTTGAAGTTGTGTATTGTTTACATTGCTGTTGGTATTTAAAGACCCATTGTCACTTACCGTGATGCACCGCGGTCACAGATGAATTTCGTGGTCCATGAAATTCAAAGATTCATATATTGAATAATAACTTCATATTAAATCCTTTTCCGACATAGCACTAAGGCACAATAATTATTCTTTTACATTCTTTTATGGCTTTAGGGACTATCTAAGAGTTTATTCAAAATGTTGGAATTGTTTTTTCAGTGGTGACACGATTCAAAATGTAAACAAATTGTGATGCATCACGGTAAGTGGCAATGGGTCTTTAAGAATATTTAGACACTGATACAAGGTTTAACCTGTGTGTAAATGAGTCTGTAATCAAGGAAAACAGCAGTAGTTAAACTCTTTTGTAAAATATTTATTGGCATTAAAAATCATTCATGATAGAAATGTCACGATGTGTTGTACAATAGGCTAGAGTACTTTTCGATTTCTGAACAAAATGACTCCAGATGAAGCAATTTTTCTCTAGTTCTCAATGTTTCTTCCAAAGTCCATCAAACGTAGAGAAAATCATACATCTGAAACATGTCAAGTGTGAGAAATTGCAACTACTGTATTATGTTCTATTTTGTTTACAGTATGATGCCACTTAATGATTCTATCAACAAAATGTCAATATAGAACTTTTTAACTTGGAAGTGATGTTTCCCATTTCAGACCATGTGACATTCCCTAGAGAATAAAATTCTTTGTTCGAGTTGTATCCATATTCATGTGTCTTCTCATGCATAACTTTAAACAAAGAAACGATACTCTAGGGAATGACACATGGACTTGAGAATAAAATTCTTTGTTTGAGTNCATATTCATGTGTCTTCTCATGCATAACTTTAAACAAAGAAACGATACTCTAGGGAATGACACATGGACTTGAGAATAAAATTCTTTGTTTGAGTGGTATCCATAGTCATGTGTCTTCTCATGCATAACCTCTAAACAAAGAAACAATGCTCTAGGGAATGACATGGTCTGAAATGGGAAAACATTACACCCAAGGTAAGAAATCTGTTACTGTGCTACCCGCTGTACCATAATCACTTCCACAAGTTTTTAATGAATTCTTTTTGACAACTTTGAATAGCAGATAATAGAGATACACCATTTGGGCCAATGGCAATGAATGTATAAACAATAGTCCCTTTCACAGTTCACTGTGCCATCTTGAAAAGTAGCCTTTCTTTTGCATCAAAGTGAGATGAACGGTGAGCTTGCAATGTTTTTTTTAACACCTTGGACATTTATTCACAGGGCTCACCGTTCATCTCGCTTCGTTCGATGCAAAGGCACGGCTACCTTTCAAGATGGTGCAGGGAACTGTGAAAGTGACTATTGTAAAGGTAATAGAGTGCAATTGTAATATCTCCTATTGTGGCCTTACTGCTAACCAATTATGTATCTCCACTTTACTTTCACGACAATTGATGTTTCAAAAAGTTGGAGTTTGTACATCGATGTAAAGATATCAAAATTTCAAAGTGAAATGCCGATGTCTTACATAATTGATTAGCCGTAAAGTGCACAATTGAAGTTGTCCAAAAGAAAAAGAAAACATGTGGAAGTGTTCATTGTATCGTGGGTAGCATATAGTTAACTATAGTTGATTTGGTCAATAATTATAGTACTTTTATTAACATCTGTCTCAGTGCAGTTTGACTTTAAAAATGTGAAATAAGGTTATATCCAGCTAGCAGAGGGTAGAGATCTTTCTCACACTGCATTAAATTTATAATGAAATATGACTATTGGGTAGCTCTGTGCCAGCAGTTGTAAAAAGCACCTGGGGATATTCCTTATACAGTTTTCTCGTGTTCTGCCAATCCTTATATGCTTTATAAATAAACACATCAAAATATATACAGTCATGTAGATGCATTCACGTCTAGCATTAGGGCTAAGGGCTACTGGACAATGCATGGACTGTTGAGTCCAGCTCAAAAGTCTAATGCCTTGGGGGATGGATCCAGAATTTTTTAGCACCAATAGATTTCAGCTGAATAGGCCCTTTGCAGCTCAGTGATCACGTGCTGATTTATTCACTGAGAGCAAATGAATGAACATCTTGATTCCCATGGGTGGAATTTACTGGTGAGCAAACAAACTTTCTACAACCTGTTTCGAAAGATTGTAGTTAAACTGCACATGCATTTCGTAACACACTGGATCGCATCGTTTCATTCAGTTCTTATTAAAAGTACCTAAAAAGAATCACCAATTTCATATAAAAACATAAATTTTGCCCTTCAAGAGACACATGACTGTTAACTGCAAAGGGCCTATCGACATGTGAATAATAATATTGTTCAAGGTGTCCAAAAAGGTCATTGTAAGGTCAACTCTGTTATCACTTATGTACAAGCACGGTTGCTAGCCTGCGAACAGTCTCTGGTTCTTTTAGCATGTTCGCAGGTTAACATGTACCTTTCAAGAAGGCATAGGGAACTGTGAAGGGGGCAATTGTCTATTTTAAATCATAATTGTATCTATTTTAATTATTATCCAGAACAGCAATATGAAGAATATCCTTTCTTTTTAGACTCTGAATCTGATGTTCTTTCTTCTTTCCTTGGTACAATAATCCCATCTGGACGATCAGTGAAACTCATGTTAAAATCTTCTCGTCGAACATGCTGTAGTGATACAGTAAATACATTAATAATTGGCTAGGTAGCCCGGGGGGTACTCTTGCCCGTTTAGGGTAGGGATGGGGTGCTGAGTAACCCTGTTCCAGAGTAAAATCGCTGAAATTCATACCCTGTTCCAGAGCAAGATCGCTGAAAATCATAACCTATTCTGGTATTGCGAAAATGGATATCCTCTTCCAGAGAGGAGAGAGTGTGATTTCATGTACCCTGTCCCAGAGCGAGTGAAATTTTATATACCCAGTGTTCCAGAGTAGAATCGCTGAAAACCATACATTTTCTCAACCATACCCTGTTTGGCGGCACGTAGCAGTATAGCGAATATAGGGGAGTACCCCCCCCCCCCCAGGCTAGGTAGCAGCAGATAGGGTAGAGGGTGGGGTCAACAATGTATGGGACACTCCCTACAGGGGCATAGCAAGGATTTTCTGAAGGGGGAGGCTCAAATTTAAAAATCTGTTATTTTGTTCAAGCCCCTGAACAAAAAAACAAAAAAACCCGGCATAATTATGTAACCCTTTCACAACTAGAGGTTAAAAGGATCCAACACAGGCTCTTCCTGGAGTTCACATAATTAGGGTGTTCTTTATTCTCAATATCAAAATGAAAAACATGCGCAGTAGATATTGAGGCCTAATAACACACATCAAAGAAGTTGATAGAATCTGATTGGTCAATGATCCAAAAAAAAAATTAGCCCACGTTTCAACACATAGAAATGTCCTACGGGATGGATAATTGAAAAACCAAAATGTCTTTCTGCTGGACACTTTTGGCCGCTCTAGTAGTGAAAGGGTTAAAAAACAGAAAATATAAAAATTGAAAATCACCATATATATAACCCGGGGGGGGGGGGGGGGTACTCTTGCCCGTTTAGGATAGGGATGTGCCGCTCAGCCTTCTGAACCCTGACCCTGTTGCAGAGTAAAAAAAAAAAAAAAAAAAAAAAAAAAAAAAAAAAAAAAGCAGGGGGGGGGGGGGGGGGGGGGGGGGTATATATAAAATTCTAAAAAGCTGCCAATTTGTTGCCAGGGGGCTGGCCCCTTGCCCTGACCCCATGACTATGCCCATTCCCCCATTATATCATTACAATATGAGCAAACTTTTAGAAATTTGAACCCCCTTTCATGGGATATTTTTTTGGATATAGACAGAAATAAATACCTTCTTAGGCTGCGTACATAATGTATGGCAGCGGGAGGGGGGAGTAGGTGAAAATTTGAAATGTCCAGAATAATTCTTAACACCCCCCTTAATGTCAAGCAAAAAAATACAATCCCCCCATAAGCAAGGCTTGTAGCTTCTTCCAACAATTGCCCATTCCCCCTTTTTCCTACTAAAATGTTCCTACCAAAATGTTCCTGATCCCCCCTCAATTGCAACTGTCTGTCTGCCATACATTATGAATGCAGCCTTATCTACTTCCATTATGTTTAGACTAATATTCTCCTCACCACAAAGGGGTCATTTGCATCTTTCATTTGTGTTGCAAGTGAATGGAAAACCTAAAAACAAACATAATCCCATTTAATTTTGTAATCATTCACTCCAATACCGGGGTTGATGTAGGCATTTTATAAGGGGGGTGACTATTACAAAGGTTTAACTGGGAATTTGAGCAAAAGGGGGCTGACTAGTCGACCCTTTTACCACCCCTAGATACAGGGGCGTAGATCACGGGGTGCCTGTGACCACCCCTTTCAAAGCCAAAAAAAATGTAACTGGCCGTTGATGCAGTGTGTGAAGATTTATTTAGACTTTACTTTATAATAGCCGTGTACGTTGTTCTGTTTCCCTCTATCGACCATGACTCTTTTTGTCAAAACAATTGCTGACGTCATATTGACGTCATATGATGTCATAGTGACAATTTGGTATGTAAGGACCCCCCAATTACAAATCCTGGACACGCCCCTGAGATAAATAATTTAATATTTCATTTTGAGCATCTGTTCTTCTATCCTTATTTCTTGATCTTTGGCATCCCATTTTCTTCTTTTATATTCCTTTCCATTCTTTTATGCATTCATTTAATGCAATCATTTTATGCATTCATTTTATGCATTCATTTCATGCATTCATTTAATGCATTCATTTTATGCAATCATTTAATGCATTCATTTTATGCAATCATTTAATGCATTCATTTTATGCAGTCATTTAAAATATAATAAAGAAACTCGCTGACAAATTATTGTACCATAGAGATTGTATATGTACCTCTTTAACATTTCTCCCTGTTTTGGCACTTGTTTCCAT